TCTCCAACCTTTCCTACAATCGGCCCTCAATTCCGAAAAACTACCGATCGACTTTGTGTCATATGTAATCGTCAAATGGAAAAGGGGATTAAAATGTGGTCGGTCGGCCGTTGTTGGAATTGGGAGCGATGACAGATCAGCTCAATGCGGCGCAAAGAAAAACCGCTACTGTCATAAACTCACTCCTCGTCAAGGTCCCAAAAGAGGTCTGTCAGTGAGATTTGTGGCTGTGATCCTATTTTCACGTCTAAAAAAATTATCCCACCGATTTGAATGGAATTTTCAGAAGTATACAGCGTAGCAGTTCTAAACAGCTGTACCGGATCGTGTCGAACACCAGGAATCACAATAACATTGCTAGAAATTTCAGGCCATTCTCCCAAAGTATGTAAAAACTAATTTATAAAGGAAAAGCTAAAAAGAGCCAACTCATACGGCTGTTGGAACCATATATGGAAGGGATGAATGGAAAATCCGAATTGTTACTTTCAGAAAAGTTACAGGTATAGGTAATGAACTCCGAGATTAATGCACAATATTTGGACCCCCGAATAATTCATGACGAAAATCGCTAGCGGAATTGAGAGATGGAATTCCCTGTGAAGCCATTTCTGTCGAAAAAATCGGAAAGACGATAGGCTTCGATAAAAATGAGATCATGGGCTGAGAACTTCATTCACTGACAAGTTTTCCAAGACGAAAACGAAGTTGAACCGTCGGAAGTCCAGGTTTGGACATTTACTAGTACTGAAAGAATCCATCAATCATTTGTCAGTTAAAAATATTGGATCATTATTCGATAGACAGAAAGAAAAATAAGATATAAATAAATAATGTAAATAAATAGGTCCAAATAAAAGCTTTTTACGATGGTTCAAATTCAAAAGATAAGACCAACCCTTTCCTCAAACCTTGTAGAGGGACTTTTTATATCAGCGCTGACTGTCTCAAATCGTGACGATAACTCCTGCAAAAGGATCAGAATGAAATTAAGAAAAACAATTTCTGGAAAAATTTCACCTACAATTTTTGTTTCGAAAATAATTCGTTTTCTAGAGGGGCGACGAGATCGATTTTTATCCATCGTGAATTTCTAATGGAACCGATTTTGAAGATGAAGAGGTAATTGAAATGAAGGAAAGGACTCTGCTGACTCAGATTCAGACGATTTAATTTAAATAACCAGTATAGTTGACGAAATAATCAGTGCCATTGCATTGTTACTGAGTTGCACGTCGTTTGAATCCCGCCCGCCGCCCAAACCAACCACATGCCATTCAACTCGCCAGGCTTAGTTGGAATGAAACTTGTTCGTCGACAAAACGGAAAGCACGATCGGGACTTTGCGAGCCATGATATGAACCCAGAATGTCATATTAAGTACGTCCACGTCCATTACTAATAGAGCTGAATGCCATTGAAAGTTGGAACACACCAAAGGTCCTGTTAACTTAGTAATTTCAAGCCGAAGAGTAAAAGATAAGGTAAAATCGATCAGTTACCGTTGCTGAGGACACTTCGAATTGTAGTATGGCAGAATGGTTAGAATGCTTGGCCTAGGTTCAGTTTCGTTCCAAATTCCAAAATTACAGTATATTTCTTTCTATTGAAAAATATTTTCACTCCCTGAGCATTACCCTCCTGGTAATCAAAAAAACCCCGTCTGAAAAGTACTACATTACACAAAGAAACGTTTATGAAGTGCGCCGGGTACCCAACTCAAACCTCGTTATGAAAAGATATAACTGAATAGATATATCTTTGCACTACATTTCAGCTGCTGTTGAAGAAAAATCTTCAGTAAGCATCGCCAATTCCCCAAATTTGTTTTTCTTTCAGAACACTGCGGAATTCTCCGTCTTCTCACTTGGATCTTCATCTCGCACTACGTCGCGACCTGATCTATGCCGCCCTAAAAGACGTGAGAATCCTTAGCGACCAACCTGAACGCTTCGATCACCGCTGAAGTGATGTCGCCGGAGATGAGGTGGAGGTGGAGGATAGTCGTCTTCTTCTGTCTTNGTTTTCTAGAGGGGCGACGAGATCGATTTTTATCCATCACTAATTCTAATGGAACCGATTTTAAAGATGAAGAGGTAATTGAAATGAAGGAAAGGACTCTGCTGACTCAGA